GTCTACTACCTGACACTACCAAAATCTGAAATGGGTCCATTTTGCTGATCCACTGCTTTGTTGACCCATTATTCGGGTAGAGGACATCAGATCGCCGAAAGTGGAGCGGTCCCGCGCGGACAATGCAGCAGATACTCAGCTTGCGCATGTACTGGAATGTGTATTTGTTGCGGATGTCTGGCGGGACCTCCCGCATTCGGCGACCTAATGTCCTCCACCCCATTATTCAAAGGAAAAGAAAGAAACCAAAACATGGTAATTCAAAGGAAAGAAAAAAGAAAAAAAATGCAAGTATGTAGTTTTGAAATAACACAACTCAAGAATGTAGGAAACTTACTTGACTGGTGCAGATGGTTGCGGTCCCATCAATTGCACTCTTCGAATCTCTCCCTCAGCCACTTCTCCTTCTGGTAGAGGAATGAAGTTGATGTCAGCATTACGAGCCAGTCGTTCTTGTTCTGCAAATCAAGAAATTTGATTCCCTTAGTGAAAATAAGGAATCCGTTACCTGCTAGTGCTTGTAACTTCTTGCAATCCGCATAGTAATGTTGGAGCTTCTCGTTTAGTTCTTTCAGTTCTTTCTCGTCTTTCAAAGTTTGCAGTACAGACCGCCTTTTGTTGACCATATCCATGATGGTCTAAACATGCAAACAGGATAAGAACTGTTTTCTGTGGAACCTTCAAAACTTTTGAAACTTTGCAAAAGAAAATTTGAATGTTCGAAAAAACGTTAATGTTGCTTTTCCGGCATTAGAAGCTCATGGGTGATTAAATGAGCGAATACTTACCCTTTGCTTCTTCTTCAAGACATCGATGTGAAACTGAGGTTTATCAAGACCAAGAACTGAAATGTAACAGAATGGAAGGAGAATCATGTAAAATTCACGGAAAGTAATGTAAAATTCAAGTAATCACTAAAAATAAGATTGTAAAAACTCACTCTGCCTTTCGATTGCAAGCATCTTCGTCGTCGAATCATCAACATCATAACACTTGGCGATGGTTTGACGAATCTGCTGCCGATCTCGTTTGTTTTTCTTGTTTTCTCGCCTTCGCTCGAGTTTTCTTGCCTAAATCATGGAGAAAGGGAATTAAATATGAAATTTGAAATTTATGCCCATAAATCACAGACCTGATCAGTGGGCGCTCGAAAAATCCTGCCACTTTTGGTTTTAGCAGCCGACGGCATGTCTGTGAAAAAAAAAGAATTCAGCTTTCACTCAAAAACGACGCAAAGATCTAGAAAAAACGGGGTTCCGCGATAAATTGAAAGGGGAGATAAATTACACATAAATACTCATCTGAACAAAATCGAGTAAAGGAAAACAATTGAGCAAGTGAGCTAAGACAATGTAAACAGACGACAAATGATGGAAAACACAAAAAAATTAGTAATTACCACTGTCGATCGCAACGCGTCTTCACTTCTTGTGCAAGACTGCGTATGCTCTTAGGTTACGCAGTATTACACACAATTTTTGCACTTTTATCTTACTGCTTGATAGTCCATGTTTGTTACTTTGTGATTAACTGGAGCTTTCGTAAATAAACTAAGGAAGAAGGTAGCATGAGCAAAAATCTGCAATATAAGTATGCAATTTCCCTCGCGCAAACGAAAACTAACACGAATTGAGGCATAGTGATGCATTTTTTGAGCTGGATATTTGAATTTATTCAGAAGGTAACTGGCACCGCGGTGGCTCCTAGGATCAAGCTGTCGCAAAACCTCGCACAAAGCGCAGTTCTCGAATGCTGAAACTTTTTCAAGCCCATCCCCCTTTGCAGCATTCTTTGCCATTCGCATGCTCATTTCTTCCTTAGTTTTTCCTGAAGATATTTACTTCTTGGAATGCTATATTTCCTTGGCTTTGCCAAAGT